GTTTAACGTTTACAATACACCGTGCTACAATAAGCGGATACACGGATACGGAGAGTTCACCTCCCCGTTTGGAAAGGTGGCTCCGCGGCATTATTGGCTTTAGAGCTGGGTAGTACCTCATCGCGCAACCCTCCCACGCTTCTGGTATAGAGAAGCACCCCTTGGACCCGCTTCAAATAGTATTTCGTTCCATTATTCATAAACATTTTATAATCTTCTTAGCGCGGTGAATTATTGCTGCTCGCACAATTGAAATAATGCGAGCCCCGAGGTCCCCGGCGTTAAGGGGGTGGCATGGCGGTCCGGTTGGGACTCGTATACATCGAAAAACGGAGTTGAAGGGAATTGTAGAGAGAAATGAGAGCAAAGAGAGAGAGAGAGAAAGGGGGAAGGGAGATCGGAGAGAAGACGGAACGGAGGCGAGGAAAGGTTGGCGCGGAAACGAGAAAATAGAACGAGTTCGTTCGCTGAAGTGGTGTTGAAATGTTTCGAAGCGAGGGAAAAATAATTGGACGAAGAGTCTGTCGTTACTATGGCATTGGAGGAATGCGGAGCGCCTGAACGATGACGAAGACAACCGTCGTGTCTTTCCATAAAGTCGTCGAACCGAATTCCCTTCTTAAACTCCTCGTTACCGAGAAGTCTTTTGCTACCTTTCGAACTACCAATCTAGGCAGTATCATCCGATAAGGGAAGTTATTTGAAAACAATGAGAGGACTGCCAATAACTTTCAACAAGTCTGTAATTCTCCGGGGATGTTGTCTAACAAAATCTATGAGACGAAAGGATGCTCGCCGCGTTCGAGGGCTTGCAATTCCTAATTTCACGTCCTTTCGATCACCCGAGGGCAGGGTCAGGATGGATATTTATATTTAATCGCGATCTTCCTTTTTCCCTCAAACGATTAATAAGGGCTCGATGTTCCAATGTAAATTCAATTTCCTTCGAATGTTCCATTATTTGATATCAAAGAATTAATTCGGATTCTATTACGACAAAGAAGCTTTGAAATTCTGTCAACATTGGTAATAATTTCGTGTTATAGAATTAAACTCAACGCACTTTTCACGTAAACGCGACTTAACTCCGTTTCAATTCACCTCCTCTGTCCTTTTACGATAAAAATATTCCATTGTAATATAACGTTAGCCTACAGACAGTGAATTTAAATTACATGACAGTCTAAAGGCTGTCAAACGTTCTAATTCCAAAATAAATTATTTTATCATTATCATCGTGAAACTAGGATTAAACAATTTCCTGTGCTATAAATATAATTTAATTTCGTTCGAATGCTCGATAACCAACGCAAAGCCATGCGACAAAGACGCCATTTTGATCGCATTAGTTTACTCCAAGCCCTATAATAACCAAAATAAAACTTGTCAATTTCGACAGGCAATTTGAAAGAAATTTGATTTCTCTATTAACTATAGTAGTAGAAGGTTCACGATTCAACTTGCACGTCTCAGCCAGCACGGTAGCTAATTGAAATAAGGCTCACTCGCGATTAGGGTACTATGCGTCATCCGCGTAGCTGAACTGGCTGCTGCGGTAGACCTAAAGCGATATACAGATGAAGTCGTAGAGGAGAGATCTTCCTGATCTCTCTATTACGTCACGGATTAGCTAGTTATGAAACTCGAGCGAGCCCAAGCGACCGGTGATGAAGCGTGTTCGGAAAGTTTCCGTGAGGACGGAACCAGGACGAGGGATGTAACGGTAGAGTTGCACGGAATAAGCGATCGAGAGTGCCTTTCTGCAGAAACCGTATCCAGCCCATCGAAACTTCGCTACAGACGTTTAAGGATGATTGCCATTAAATTCATTAGCTCCACTTTATTCCTCAACCTGCTAACAACTGTCAATTATACGCACCGTTGCAGAAGGAGACACTGCTACTGGCCCGATATCGCGGTTCTTTTCGTACTTCGATCGCAGTTGCATTCCTCCTCGTGCCCACTCTCGAACGTTAATCATTGAAATGTGAATAAATTATCAGACAACTCGCCAAACGAATCCTCCACAATTCTCTAACGCTTAATTACTCCGACTGAAAAGGGTACGCCGATCGAATGTCTATCGCGCCATTTCATTAACCCATGAAACCAATTTCGCCGTGAAAGTTTTATTCACGGATCAGCTCTCCTCCTCTAGCGTCCTCTTTTATCGCTTTTATAAATGTCGACATTGAAATTACTAGCAATCCTTGTAAGCGGCTAGCGAAACGTTCCAGGCTACCGATCAATCCTCGCCGGCAAGCGGAATGATGTTTTGCGTTCGTGTGATTTTAATTAAAGAGACTGAAAAGCTCGGCGAAACATCGTCCCGTTTTTCGACAAAGAGCCCAGAAGACTCCGGAGCCAGTGACAGAGGCCGGACGAAGAGAAAGGGGTAGAGAGACGAAGAAAGAAGCTTAGACCTAGTGACAGGGGGTCGGAGAGAGACAGAGAAAACGAAGAGGAGGATTCGGTGTTCGCGGAGCAAAGGAGCGTGTCATGGAACATCGCAAGGGTCTCTCCTCGAGTACTGCCTTCACCTCTGCCACCTCGCACCCCCGGGGTCCCTTCGCGTCTCAAATCTTCGGTATCTGCCAAAGACGATGGGTGCCACGTTACGTCACCTGGCTGCGAATCAAAATCTTATTAACCGTTGAAAGTGAGATTTACTTCAAGGTGGAATTTAATTACATTCGCACCTGTTTGCCATCCCGTCTGCCCACCTTTCTTCACCCTCCACCCCCTCTAACCCATTTCGTTTCGCCATCCGACCATGCCTCTATTCCGCCTTATATCCCGTCCCTGCTATTTATATCTCTGCCTTAATCGTTTTGCTCGATTACTTCTCCTCCTTTGCCGTTAAACCTTCTAGAAACTCGACCGACATCCCATTACTCATGGCCTTCATTTTTATACGAAAATATTTAAATTTCACCGGCTCGTCCAGCGGAAATTATTGCCTCTCCCCGACCCAAGGCTTCCCATCGATCCACGCAACCGGAGGAGGTATAAACACGGTGAATCTTCGAACATCATCCCGCTTCCCCGCTCGTACAGACGCTTGTAGACTCTGCGTCGATATCGAGGCTGCGTGGCCCGGTGAGTACTCTTCGGAGGCAATTGCTTCCTTTCAGGGTACTGTATTCGGCTGCGTGGTCTTTATAGCAGAAGGATCTCTACGACTTGGCTTATCTTTATCGACGATTTTGGTTTTTCCAGGGGTTAGATGCCTTTCTCTTAGCGTCAGATTGCTCGGGGCTGGCTCGGGGCTGTAAGCTTCTTGGCTCATCACGGTTGTGTAATGAAATTCATTTCGCTCTCGGTAACGAACAGATGAAATTACCACAGCGAGTCCTTCTTATTTCTTGCTTGCTCTTTGATCAGAGTAACTATGAGAGCATGTTCTTGGTACTGATTGTAAAAGCTGGTAGCAGAGGGGAGGCTGAGGTCACGAGTAATATCGTGAAATTTCGAGGAATTTAAAGGGGTTCCAGCGAAGATTGATGGCGGAATTATCGATTTGTAATGCGTACCTAAATTCCAATGTATAATCCAACGAGATACCAAATGCCTTGACTGCGTGATTAGATCAGGGACGATTTCACTGTACCTGGACTGAATGGTTACGTGGGCCTTTGTTTGCAACAGTGGGGCAATTTGAATTCTGAAGGTTCTTTCAAGAGACCAAGATAAACGAGACAGTGTCGTTCCTGAAGCTCAAGAAAATAGATCACTTAACTGATCATGCAGTCGTTAATGTAAATTTAAATTTAAATTGGTACCTCGTCTCTTAGGACGAAGCACAAATATGGTTATTTGATTATAGTGATTTGGATTATACAGCATTTCTATTTGATAAAAATAAAGGTATATTTGTGTTCCAGCAAAATACAATAATTTGTGATACTGTAAGTAAGAAAATTGAGAGATTCCATTATAAAACCTTTTATGTGGCTTCATGATGTTCTTAAAAATATTTATTGTAATATAATAGTCGGCATGCACTGTTTAGGTCAGCTAATCCATACATATATTATATATCGTGCTACAAATGTTAGAAATGCACAAAAATAGAACTTTCCTTATTAAACGCTTGAAACAAATTACAGTTGGTTTCTTCGCTCTTCGTTATCACTGACGACAGTTAACGAAAAGCAAGAATTATGTCAAATAATTCGAGATATTGAGCAGAATTCGATAATAATAAATTGGTGGTTAACAATTGGTAGTAAACTAAATTAAAATCGAAAATTAATCGTCACATGCAGACGGCTTTAAGCGTGTCTACACTAGCGACATCTACGACGCCATTTTGACACGAACGCCGTCGCCATATTGTCCTACCGCTTTAACTAACTGTACTACCAAAGAACATTAGTACCCCAGGAATTCCTCGCGATCACGAAACATTCTGATCACCATTTTCACCAAAATATTCCATTTTCCACTATAAAACATTCTTCCCTGGCAATTTCCCTCGAAACGCGTCAAAAGACTCGTGTCTCATATACCTGTGGTAGTAAATAAAAACGCCTATTCTCGACAAATTTAATTTTCTTAATTAACCAGGTTATCACATTGCTAAATATAGTTTACATATATAAACGTTAACAGAAATAAATGTCATATTTTCAAAAACATTGTACGATTTAACCCTTTGCGATCGGCAGATTTCGGCAGAGCAAATTTAGCGTTTCGCAGTTGCTTTTCTGATATTAAAACGCACAGAATTTGTTGAAATTAATTTGTGTTTGATACTACTTATAATACGTAAAAATACCAAATTTTTAATTTCTTTAAATTTCTGTAGTTTTCCGTATTTTTCAACTTGGGAATGTCCCCTTTGGGGGGATATCGATCGCAAAGGGTTAATCAACTGCTAATAAAACGAATTCGCGTTCGGAATTTCAAACGGCGATGTCTCGAAGGAGGAACATGTGACGTAGGGTTATTCTTTAGAACCACAGGTACACGTGTGATATATCTCTTCGACTACTCACCTCTGCTACTGCCGTCAGGTCCTCGGAGGATGGTACACTCCTCTATTGCGCCAAAGGCAGTGAACAACTGTCTGACATCGTCTTCTGTTTGTTGCTTGCTGAGCATTCCCACGAACAGCTTTCTGTCTGCGGGTCGGCCGCGTGTCGAAAGAGAGGGAACAGAGAAAAAAAAACAAAGAAACACGTTAGTCCATGTCCCATGATCAGGCTGGTTTCGCTTATAGCGCTTTTTAGGCATTAAAAAGAGATTTTGCGGCTAACACCGAAAACGACAAAGTTACACGATTACACCAGCATCCACCATCCTAAGGGGAAGGAGGTAAGGGTTATAGATACACATATACATATCCATATATGCATATCCATATATTCGTTTATATGTATATAGATATATACATATACGTACTGTGTCTCAAGTTTACGAGCGGCCTGCCGAGGCCGCTCTACGTCTCCAATGATCCGCGTGAACAGCCCAAAAACTGCACGGTTGTATATGTATACACATATGCATGTGTCACTATAATGGGTTATATGTAACGGATATAAAAAATGACAAATATAATAAAATATATCGGTTCTCAATACTGACATTGGTAAAAATAGTCATGTAGCACGACGTACACGTGTGAACAGAGACGGTAAACGTATCTCATAGGGGGCGGGGATCATAGAAGGTGAACAAAGGAACGACAATAAAAAGGAAAATTAAAATTAATCCAACCAATTCCAATCCTACGTCCTACACCACAAGCCGAAGAAACAGATGGAGAAAAAACGGGATTCGCGTATAAAACCAGATGGGGCGTACAAGCGACTCAACTACGGAGCGGAACTTCCGGCGGTGGTTGTCCACGTTCAAATTAATCTTCGAGCTTCTACCGAATGATTATTCATGAACGGTTTTCCACCTACGCTTTTTCACATTTCCATTCAACGAACAAGCTTTTGCTCCCGGGTAACTCGTAATCCGTATTGCTAGTCGGTTCACAGAGTTACCACGCTCACCACCAACCAGGGTTCCGCGTGGTGCTGAGGTCAACATATCGCTTATAAAGGGTCACACGCCACTTATTCATTGTCCTTTCAATAGGCTGCAGGTATTTCTAGTTTACTGTTTTATTATTATTCATTTTTCGTTATTTCTAGTACGCGAGATTGACAAGTGAAACGAGTCCACCTGCAGTCACCGTGTCACTGTTTGGGCCTGATTATGTCTCTATCATGATTACGTCTCAGGTAGCAATAGATAGGCTGTCAAACGTTTGGATCAGGTTTTTCTGCTCTTAGTCGCTAAACTTTTTAAGGTAGTATAATATGTTATATTTTAATTGGAAATTTAAAAACAGCTAAAATATACATTTGTCTTTGAGGGATTAATATTTTGTCCTCTGAGATGTTAGGCGATTTACGACTTTATGGTAAATTTGGTTAAATGTTAGGTTGGTTGATTTTGATATTTTATGATATACGATAATTGGAAGATAATTTAGGTGAGCATTATCATTTTTTTTAAAGCGTTAGGTTAATAAATTTCCCTATTTCATGACACTTACTACCAAGATTGGGCTGAAAATTAAGAGACTGATAAAAGGAACGTTTATCTTTCAGTTATCGTCACTTTTTCTAGTAGAATGTTAGGTTAATAGATCTTACTATATTCTGGTGGATACTATCTGTCATATGCAAATTGAAAATTGAGAAACAGTATAAGCATTTATCTTTGAATTATCATGATTTTTTGCCTTAGAGAATTAAGCTAGTAAATATTACTATTTTCTCATAGAATTATTAAAAATTTAGAGGATATTAATTGACCTCGAATCTCGACATTAACTATGTCAGGCAATTTTTGCCTAATATATAATTCGTATTCGTAGCACGAACACTTGCAACAACAATAATTACACGTGTTTATAGAAAGGTAATTGGTTCAATGTAATACAGAATTTTCAACACAGAGAAAATTCAATTGCAATTACTTTTCATTTGTTCCTCAAACGTTACAAAAGTATTACAAAAATAGGAACCCAGAAATTATATTTAAAAAATATCACAAATACCACCAGAATTTCAAAATTCCATAGCATGCAAAAGCAATCATAACTCGAAAAACAAAACATCCTTTAATTCCAACTCAACAATTTTTCCAAAAATCCTCAATTATCCTCCCAAAGTTTAGCGACCAATTAAAAACCATTTTATCCAAAAATAGCGTACAATATTCAATTTTCCAAATGTTATAATTTTAATCGTAATTTCAAATCCTCCGTACCACGAGCATGATTAATACACCAATCGATTATTTTTCACGTATTTTCTTTCATCTTTCCTTATTTTTCTTCTTTTTTTTTTTTAGAAATATCTGCACTGTGTCGTGTATCCCGTGTGTACGTGTACCCCTGTATAACAATGATAATAAGTAATCGGTGGGTGTGCAAAAATCGACCGGGACTACGTGAGAAAAGACGTGGCAAGTCGGGATCGGAATGTTAGGCTTGTGAGGAACATAGGCGTAGGTCGGGATCGGGATGAAAAAGGGGGGCAAAAAAGTTGTCATATAGAATCATATCTAAGTAATACAATAAGAGAAACGTAGCTGACATCATAATCAGAAAATATTTACAAAGGTGATAAAAAACACATCGACAACGAACGAGACAACACATCCAACGAGCGAGCCACTATTTTATATGGTCATAGCTGTAAAGAGCGGTAGTAGAGTGTATATATATATAAATATATACGGTTTTTTCTTTCTGCTTTTCTTTATTCTCTATATATATATACGCTTGAGGTGGTTGCCCATACGAACGGATAAAGGTGAAAACTGGAAATGGAATTAATTAAGGAGCCATATGTGGATAATCAACGAGGCACGCGATATATATATAAACATATATATATATATTCGGGCTTCGGAATAAAAAAAGAGGCTCTCTGTAAGTACACGGTCGGTAGACGCTCTAAGATGATTCCTTGAGAATCTCACGTGTATTTTCATCCCGGAAATCTTTCATCGTTTTCGTTCTACTTTTACATTCTCCTTTTTCCATTTTCCTGCGACAGTCAAGAGAGAGTGTGGCCAAATTTATTCACGGGGTCGTATTCGGGGTATTCAGAGGGTTCGAGTAACGAGGTTTTAACAGTGTGATAACGCCGGTGCGCAATAACTAGAGCAAAAACACGAACGACAAGTTTACGGCTACTAAATAAAGGTTCACGCATGTGGGCACGCACAACATCATTTATAATACCTTATAGTGTATCACGTTGTATATCCGTGTTTTCGGATGATGTGGATCAGGGAGAACGGAAACGGCAGTCGAAACGGAAGTGTAGATGTGGGTCTCCCGGCAAGAGGCGCGGGTCTGCTTCGAATTGCGCGGAAAACAGTCGACCGCGAAGCTAATCTCAACGCAAGATTGATTAAAAACGAAAATTCGATCAAAAGGTACTGAAAGACGCGAGTATACGTATGACGGATACTAAAGTAGCCAAGTGGATCGATTTTCTCGCGGAACGATGAATTTTGAATCGCAGCATGGAATAATTACGTCTGCTGATAAATTCGGAATTTTGATTGTATTCTATGTATATATATGCCGGTTGTGCGTTGGGTGAAGATACAGGTGTCGGTGTACAGAGGATCATGGATGGGAGGTCCGGTGAGGGAATGCCGGGATTCGTGGGTCAAACACTAGCGAGCAGCAAAATGAACTTTGCGGCGAGCTGTGCTGGCTGAATCAGCGGTGATGGCGTGATGAGAGAGGAAAATTCGTTTCTTTTCTTTCTTTTTTTCTCTTAGAGAGGTTCTCCTTCTGCCGAATTGCGGAGAAGAAGAATAGAGGTACTGGAAGGAAGCTAGCTATCTCCTGGAAGTCGAAGTTACCTTCAGCGGCCGCCACCGGTGCCTCCTACTTCCAGAAGATGGCACTGGTGCTCCCGTCGTCCATCATGCACTCTGGAATACAGAACAGAAACAAAGAAATGCCATTGGGCCCAAAGTAACACCATTCGTTGTCGTCGTTGCCTATATGTATCCTTGAAACGCTATTCGACATGCCCCTCCCTGCTGATGATCAATCGACCGTGTTTTCGTTAGCCTGACACTCTACAGCTGGCGTATCTCTTTTCTTTCCTCCGATCGTGCGGATGGAACATTGCAAACACGCCCTAACCACTGGGACAAAGTTACGCTATAAATATCGTCTTCAACAGAAACTATTGCTAAATGGAAAAAAAAGATAATTAATTTATTATGACAATTTTATAAATACATATTTCCTCAGTGCGTATTATACCAGTATTTTGTGATCCTCCATTCTTATTATTATTATATGTAAACGTATATATAACTGTGATATGCAAAGATGAGAGGACACTGACTTACCTTCGGCCTGTCATCTTTCCACATTTTTCAAAATTCGTTTATGACATCATTTATGAAGAAAACATGGTACAGAAATAGGTTATGTCAACATGTGTTTGTTTTATATTAACCCCATGTCTTGTGACCTTATTAGAAGCTACTTGAATGATCTATTTGTTGTCATAAGACTGTTTTGTGATATAAAAATATTAAGTATGATTTATAATAAATAATCTTAGGTATGATGAAGAATTAGAAACTGGAGTCCAAGTTCAAACTAACCTAAAAGTGAAATTATAAATTAACACGAGTGTAACTCGATGTTACAAGGTAAGGGGGTTACAGCTGTCTTTATATTCTACGCCAATGTATCTCACTTTGTCTCCATGTTTACTCTATTACCTTTCGACTTTTCTGAAAATTCTATTTATAGGTTCTCGGTTACATAGCAGTAAAATACGTTATATCAACGTGTCTTTGTCTCGTACTACTGATTAAGACAAATTCTACGTCTACGCCAATGCCCAGTGTCACTTTATCTTGCTTGGACCCCATTTTCTTCGTTTGCTGTCTTTGTTATGGGGTGCAAACACGAACATAATTCGTCCGATTGATAATAAAAGTCGTGGTTAGCACTAGAACTACCGAAAATGTCAAAGTGACAGTTTCATAGATTTTATTTCTGCATTTAAAAATTCAATTAAATACTTCAACTAATTACATATACCTATTCAATTATTATCATCTGTATTTATAG